ATTAAATAAAACGGAATCGAAGTGAAATCTTCCAAGAGCCTTATTTTGAAGGCGGGTTCACTCAGTTTCCGGTACAGTTACGACTCGTGCAGCTCGCCGGAGCGCTGAACTGATACAGAAGTCTTGAGTGTGCGTGTGTCCGTGTCGTGTGGTTGAGGTTTGCTGTAGTCACACTGGGGACAGATGAGGACCCGGTCAGCTGTGAGGCCGTGCCGTGCCGTGCCGTGCTCACAGCCTGTCCTTGTTTAGCAGTGCTGTGGGATCTCCTCCCCGGCCGCGCTCTGTTGAAGGCTGTGCTGGGCACACGGTGCAGAAACACTATGTTTGTATAAACTACAGCCCCGTGTCACTGCAGCGCATGTGCAGCATTCTGCACTGTTAGGGGCACCATGCTACACCACTGCATGTCTGACAAGACAGGAAAAACAAAGGGAATAATCTGTGCAGTGCAGAGGACGAAGTCTGCTTCCTGTCCACTACCAACATAACAGCTCAGTTTTTAATAACCTAACCAGCTGTCTAATTCAGCTATTAATCAGAAAGGCAGCAACATCCTGTGTGAGAAAAACTTCATTCCTGCAACCAGTTTGATGAATTCCTGTACACTGAATTATTTATTTAAATAATCTTTATTCATCTCGTGTCCTCCTCATTTAGACACGTGCAAAGATCAATGCAGAGGTAGAGACTAACAAAAGTTACACCAAATACAAACAAAAACATGTACTTGAGAACAGAAAGCTACTGTAGAGAAGTCGCTCTCAGAGTGAAGTATTGTGTTCCACTAAAACAGGAAACTTTTACAATTTAAAGATATTTGGTTTATATTTCACATTTGGTGACTCTCTGACCTCAGACCTCAGCACAGCCATCTGAATACAGGACAAGTGGTCTCAATGTCGAAAATCCTCCTGTTGTAATGAGTGAAGGGTTCAAATATGACCTTTACAGTTTGTTCAGGGAATAAACAATCATGTCGTGTAGACGAAGCCCAAACGTGGCACTGATAGCAAGAAGAACATCGTGGAAATAAAGGATATAAAGATGACGCAGTCAGCAACCAGCCCAGTTCCCCTTTTTAAGAGTATTTATGTCTATATTTTTAAACACATCAGCATTAGATCCAAAAGAAATCTAGAACATGTACAAGACGGAAAGTTTATATGAAAAGATAGAGTCAGCAAAGGTGAATGTCAGGTTTGATGCATGTGTTGTGAGTGCTTCTGTTTGCTAGGTAACCCACACACATGACTGCGTGCACGACCTCGATAAGGGCAACAAGCAGCCTTGAGACGAACAGATTCTACCGACAACAATCTGGGAGAGCTGCACTCCCATCATGTAACCACACATTGTATAACCATGCTCGCACAATCACACTTTGTACCCAGTTATAGGAATTTCTCATAGGTGATACAGCATCAAGCTTTATGAATGTTCATGTGTGTAACCAATACAAACAGCCTGCAGGGGGAAAGCAAGCTGAAGTGGGCTGGAGATCAACTGCTTCCCCTCACGAGTGAAAACCTGAGCTCTGTGTGACCTCGTTCCTGAGTGAGCTTCTGTTCATCAGTCTCAGGGGAAACTCTGACAGCAACACAAATCGATCATACAGGAATAATTGGATTCTGAATGCCTTCAAAATGACTAAAAGCCACAACTTATACAACTTTGTGCACAGAGCACAGATATCTGCACTTATTCCAAACGCTGCTCAGAACTACTCTCTTCGTTCCTGAGTGAGCTTCTGTTCATCAGTCTCAGGGGAAACTCTGACAGCAACACAAATCGATCATACAGGAATAATTGGATTCTGAATGCCTTCAAAATGACTAAAAGCCACAACTTATACAACTTTGTGCACAGAGCACAGATATCTGCACTTGTTCCAAACGCTGCTCAGAACTACAGCATGCTCAGTGGGGCTGCACATCTGTCCAGAGGTTCTGTCAGCGCATATGTGAAGACGTATCCACAGGGCTTAGTCGCAGTGTCCCAACCTTAGCCGAGCCTGTGCAGCTGACGTAAGTGAACTAGATATGGAAGCTAACACATCACATATGCTCCTGACTTGCTATCATATGTGGTCTGTGGGCATCATTAATGCTAGCGTGCGCTGTCAGGTCACCTGCACTGTCTGTTTCACACAGACGTGAGACGTTCTAACAACACTTTGATCTTTGAAACGTGGAAACAAACAACATGTCTGTAACTGCTAGCATGTAGTGACACAAATGTCACGGCTCCTTCAGTATAAGCATGCAGGACCACATGCTGGGAGACTGAGGGAACGTGTCATACTGAGAGCTGCAGAAACACACCGAGGGTGTCAGCTGAAGCACAGGAAGGAACCGAGAGAGCAAAACACAGAACAGAGAAACGAGAAGTCATGTGAAACAAAGGTCTCACTGCAAAGCATCGACCATGAAGAGTCGGGTTTCTGACCAAACAGAGCTCGCAGTAGGAGGCCGGCGTGTGTGAGTGCAGGGTGAGCCAATCAGATGGTTCGATTTTCTAAAGAAACACAGGCTGTGCTTCACACAGCGAAGAAAAGTTCAAGGTTTGTTGATTCAATTAACGTTTGGTGTCGTTCTTTTCTCTGGGAAACTACCAGACGTGTGAGTTTGACAGTGGTGCCTCCTGCTGAAAATACCGACTGTAACACATGCAGACACAACTTCACTCCCTCTTCCTGTGTCTGATGCAAAGAGACTGAGATCAGTATGCAGAACAACATTGATCTGAGAGTGTTCTGATCTCCACAATCACAAACATCATGATTGGAGTCATTCGGAGTCCTGCCTGCTGCAGCTCTGACGCTGGTGACCGAGCAGACAAAGTCGATTTAGTGTTGTTAAAAAATGCACGTCATTAAA